CAAGTAGAAAACTTGCCCGAAGAAATGTGATCCACGTAATTGTGTTGATTTAGTTTTAAAGTACCTCATACCAAAGAAAGAAATATTTATAAAACTATTTAGCTACAAGAAACTAAAACCAATTAGTGAGTTGACTCTGATACGCGTGTAAAAAAAACTTACAATTCAACTAAATCGCTTCCGTGTTTCAATGGGATAAAAAAAAAGTGACGTAACTACTGTTGTAATCGGTGGTATTACAATCACATCGAAGAATTAAAAAGCTCCTCTGTTAGATTTGTATAAGGTTTTAAAAGAAGTACAAACTGAGTATCGATAGTTTATTCGTAGATAAATGAACAATAGGCGATACTGAAAATCTCGTGAAGTACGGGCTTTATACAAACTCGTGTTATTCTTTGTGAAAATTTTCTGTTGATTCTAAACAAACGATAAATAGTTCACAAGTACGTAAATTACTTGTGACTTAATGCGTTAGTCAAGCCTAATAGTTATTTGCCGCAGTATTAGTCCTCAGTAGACCTTCAACGATGTAAATTTCATGGTCTGGCTTCATTTATCTCACGCATCAAGACTCGAGTTATTAAAATTTATTTATGTACTGGTCATTGATTTTAATGTATAGCTTCGGGTATTTACTCAATGTGCACTATAGGCATCTAAACCACACATGGTACAACAAAACTGGGCTATAATATTCGGACTCGCTAAGAACTAAATCAGCCAGCATATATTTGGAAGCACAAGCTATAAAAGTATTTCAATGAACGCCAAAAACGTGTCATATTGTGGCGAGAAAAGTTATCGTGAAAGTTACGAGCCACTGTGATGGAACGTGCAATCGGTTCCCATGTATGTATGTATATGTAGAATGGGAGGCTACTTTCCACGCCGTTTTTGATTTTTCGCTCGTTAACGCCTCTTTTACATTCATCCAGGTATTACTTTTCCGAATTTTCAACGCTGGGTTTTGCGCGTCACATCAGCCGTAGGGAAAAATAAAATTCGTTCTTGCCAAAGCCGTCATGGAAAAAGTGTATTTTTTCTCGGCAACAAGTGGTCGCTATATTTGTAAAAGTAAAAATAAAACAAAGAGGAACAAGTGAGAAAGAATGAAAAACATAAAAAATAATAATGATAAACGGCGTCTGACGCAAAGAGAGCGCGAGACCCGCTGTATTATAGCGCGGGCGGTCACTGTGTCAACGCACACGCGCTCACTCGTCACGGAGTCGCGAAACACGACATAAAATAGCGGAAAAGCGGGAAAAACCGTGTTGCACCATCGGTCGTACACAGCGAAGGAGGCGTGAGCGAAAATCGGCCGATCGATCGGCGCGCGGAGAGAAGAAATCGCTATCTTTGGTGCATTCATCGGCTCCGGATGGTGCGTGAATGGGAAAGAGGAAAATGGGAAAAGCGCTCCCGCAGCGATGCTACTTTCGTCGGGATGATCTGTGGCGTCCACGTGTTCGCGCACAGCAACAGAGGCGAAAGACGAGGGAGCGAGAGAAGCGGACTGACGCTCTTGAGAGATCGGGGATCGAAAAATCGGAAGAAGACTACGCTATTGTGGTCAAGGAACGATAAACTCGGGTTGCAAATAAAAGAGCCGAAATATGTGTAGTAAATGGTTATGGATCTCTCTCGGGTGTACGAGCAATATTGTGGTGTGTACCTCAGGCGCAGCGGTCCACACCCCCACGATCGGCCCTGCTGATGGTGCTCAAGCTGGCGCTCGTTGTAGGCCCGAAAAAAGTCGGAGGGCTCGTCTTAGAGATTACATTCCTCAAGGCGAATTGGGGTCGGCGCGTCTTTGGACTCGGTTGCTCCGACGCTGAAGTTTAACACTGCAGCTACGGATATCACGGCGACGCGCTCGCTCCGATGGCAGTACCGACACTGACTGCTCTGGTGTGCTGGTGTGCTCTCTCTCTCTCTCTCTCTCTTTGTCGTGGTGATGCCGATCCGATGGTGGTGGTCTCCGCCGCCGTCGCCGCCACCGCCTCTGTCCCCCTTCCTTGTTCTGTCGCTCTCTGTCTTTCTCTCCAGTTTTTTTTTTTTTTTTTTTTTTTTTTCCTTTTTACACATAGCCGCGTCTGTCTCTCGCTCCATATGCAGCCGAGCTCTCGTGGCACTACCGATTTCGAGTGTATAAGCGCCGTCGCCGCCATCGTCAGGGAGAAAGAGAGAGAAAAAGGGAGGATATTCTATATAAAATCTTTGTCGTTGCTCGCACACGCCCGTGTTGGGAGATCTCGAATCTCGATGGCTATCTTATTTTCGTTCTTTGCATCCTCGTTTTTGTACACCAAGTTGTGCTCGTCGAGTCGTTCTGCCAATAAATACTTACTGCCTACTTGTACTCTCGAGGCTCTCTTTAGCTCCGCTCCTCGTCATCTTCTTCTTCTTCTTCTTCTCTCCTTTTTTTCTGATTTTTCCGATCTGTTCTCTTCATCTCCTCCCATTTCTCGTGTGATGTCTCTCTCCTCCCTCCTTCCCCACATTTTTTCGCGATTTGTTTGCGCTCCCTCGATTGGCCCTCTACTTGTGCAAGATTAACCCAAGGGATACTTATCCTTTTGCTTTTTCAGTCACGCGTATCCAATCGAAATCGGTTGATTATCGCGAAATCGGCATTCGTAAAGATCCGCCGGCCGCGGTGATAAATCTTGGGAGATGAAGGATTCTCAGGATACGGTCCTTTGGTATGCGGAACAGCGGTCCTCGGAAGATTCGACGAGCTCGAGCGCGGAGGAATTTCCGTGGCACATCGCGACGCAACGTTAAATATATTACTCGTGTTCAAAGTTGTACATAATATATTGTTACATATATCCCGGCGGGTGTTTAGCATAACTTTAATGGGCGTGAATTCTCCTTCTAAAAGTGTACGATTCTTTGTAGTCTCAATACCGCATGTATTGTGATACCCATTGTCGGGGCACAGGATGAAAACCCTGCAATCACTGCGCGCGAGTGAAACACCCAGTTGTTTGTTCAGCCTCTAACGGTGATAATCGTCATCTTTTTTTGTTTCCCCCAAACTAAACAAAAAAAAAAGGTGTGATAGTAATAAAAGCACAAAATTCGAGTTCGTTTTTCAACGACGAGCAAGAAAATCGTGCGTGATCGGTAAGCTTATACGTAGGCGAGGAAAACTATCGTATACCGGTTACGTAAGAGCAGCAAGCGTTCCAGATAACCATCCGTCGCATCGAATATTCGGAGATGAAAGCGCTGTATAGGTGCGATCGGTTACGGATCGCCGCGGCTCGTTTCACCCGATCAAGTTGGCGGCAGGTTTTCTTTGTCCCTCCTCTGCCGATACAACGAGCCGGAAGAGCTGTTGCAGGTGATGCCGCTGCAGGGAACGGTCGTGCGCGGTGGAAAAGTTTCGCTCCCAGCACAAGTGAGTAAGTGCATTGGGTATATATTATAAATGAGTCATATGTTAGATTCGCTATGTAGAAGTATACGATGCGGGTAATCGGGACGATCGAAGTGTGCCGGACGACGCGACCGAAGTTGGATGATTGACGAGGGTTGAAATTTTCAATCAACTTCAATCTAGCCTCGTATAACGCCGCTGGGCGTACGCATACACCGTGCACGCACACTCTTGTATAAAGATAGCCCGACAAACTTGTTCCGATTAAATCGACCCACTGTCACGTCCACGGTATATAGTTTAGATGCCCGAGTACGCTATACGCTATGACACTCGTAAAACATTATCAGAGTACTGTTGTAATTATTTTTCAAGGTATACATATATTATACTTTCGTGGCTATGATTCTAATTTTAAAATTTGTCCAATGGCTCCACGAACGTTTTAGATGGTAACGTAAAAATAGGAAAAATAACCAAACTTACGAGGGTCACGTCTGTCAAATCCAAGTACGACTAAAAACAAGTCCTACACACTGGCGTAGGTACGGGTTTGTAGAGGTGTTTTTGTTGATGAAAAACTTCATATTTAACAATCAATGGTTTGGAGGAACGTATGTATTTGAAAAAAGATTTTTCGATGTTTTTTTCGTACCTCTCAATCGGCCCGAGACCTTCAACTGGCTAAGCAGCACAAATAACTGTGTAGTACATGGGGGGGAAAAAAAAAAAGAAAAAAAGATAGCTCGGTTCAGCTGCGGTTCTGGTTTTAAGGACGAGACAGCAGCCAGACGAGAGCCTATCCCATTGTGCGCCAGTTTACCTTTTTCCCCCCTCCTGTACCTATATGAATCACGGACGCTTAGACAAGCAAACATAGTCGCAGGTCAGTTTTTCGAAGCGGAAGGTTAATGCACCGCAGGGAGTTCGCTTTCGAAGTTACAAAAATGTGCGAGTTGTACATGTTTAAGTTCCAAAGCTCATATACTTAATTTTATGAAATTGAAGAGAAATTTTTGTTCGATATGAACCAAGTAAGTAGTATACTTCAAAATGACGAAAAAGATAGAAGCATCAAACGAGTAGGCGTGGGTATAAAACATATAGATCTATTAGACAAAAGTATGTAAAGCGGAATGCGGACCCTTTTTTTTTTTTTTTTTTTTTAATATACACGAGCATATCGCGCGAGAAGGTCGTCCCTCGGGCGTCACAATAAAACTTAGCCAGGAATTTCTTGATTGTGCCTCGGGGGGTCGCGGTACGCGCGCCTCCGCGGGAATGCAATATGCGATCGTTCCGGCGCGCCCCTACCGCATTCCTCCCGATGAGCTCCCTTTTTGCGATTGCCTCGATGGATAATTTCCCGTTGATCCTCGTTGGGATGAAAATTAAGGGCAAAGCAACACCCTCCCCCGCGATGCGCGACAATCGTTGCTCGATTTATTCGGGGGATCATTGTATAGGTACTCGAGCGAAAACGATGGTGGTACAACCCTGCAGTGGTCCTTTCACTGTACATGGGGGGAGAAAAAAAAAGGTCCCCGAGCGCGGAGCCTGCGCAATGGAAGGTCCTGCCGCTAAGCTGCTCCTCGAGCTTATCGGTACATCAGTCCAACTCGAGCAGTGGCCCCTTGAGCGGAAAACCCGTCAACATGAAGTGGTTTATCGCGCTCGTGGCGATCGTCACCAAGTTTTTCATTTTTGCGAGGGGCAGGCAGGAGGAGGCGGACGTGCACTCGGTGCCCCTTGGCTCCGAGGCTCGGATGAGCTGGAGGTGAAGTGCTCGATTTTCTTCTTTTTTCATACGTACTTACTCCGTGGGATGATGGATTATCTCGAGTCTCCTGCTAATTTTTCTGACATCCTCTTTATACGAGGGTGTTGGTCAGCTAAGCGAAATCCGATTTGAAAATGGTTGTCGAAGATGTCTTTTTGTCATTTAATTTTTCCAATTGGTTCTACGTCTGTCGTACAATGTCCTCAGAAAGATATTAAATTTCTTCAAGTACAATTCACCGCGCGTCGTATACATAATTATTTGTAGAGATAAAAAAGATGTTTGTCGTCGATTTCCTCGTAAATCGGCGCAATATTTTTAAATCTCGCGAGTTTCGTAAATACGTTTAATTGCTTGTCAAATAGGATTGACTTTACGCCCGAGGAGATAGCAGCGGAGGTACATTTCAGCGGGGAGGAAAATTCGTGGTTTGCGGTGGGCTTTTCGAACTACGGCGAATCCAAACCGGCGGATTATTGCGTTTTGTGGGTCGACTGGCACCGCGAGACGCATTTGCAGGTATAAACACTGAATTTTTTTTGGAGATACCATTTTTCAAACTAACGCAACTTTTTGTTTGAGGGGAAAAAAAAAAAAATTAACGACTCATCAAGCAGAGATTGATCGATGTGCACTTTTTAAAGGACGCCTGGAGCGACGAGGCCGGTAAATTGAATCTCGACGAGCAGCAAGATTGCAAAAGCTTCAAGTGGAAGAAGCATGGAAATTTAACCAAGTTCGCGTTCACCCGAAAGTTCGATACCTGCGACGAGCACGACTACGTGATCGAGGTAACGCTACTTTTTGCACGACCCCGTAACAAAAGCGTATTAAAAAAAATAAATAAATTAAATTAAATTTAAAAATAAAAAAAAAAATAAAAAAACAGTTTACGTTTCGTACAGCTTTTAGCACGTGATATGGTAATGTTAAACAAGTCTCGATGCGATTTATCGCGCTGAAACTCAATCCGAATCTTCTCGATCGCGATTTGCAAACAAATTAAAATTAAAATAAGTTTAAAATACAATAAAAAACACACACGCGCGTGCCTTGAATATCAGTTACGATCTCCGAGCGCGATATTGATCCAAGTGTCAGAGGAGGCGCCTTTGTGAAAAAAAAAAAAAAAAAAAAAAAAAAAAAAAAAAAAAGAATCGGGGAATGTGCCCCACCCCCAATGGTTTCGAAGCAAAAGAGCCAAAGGTGCGTATTTGCCCACCGCAGAGAGGCACGACTCACCTGGTGTGGCTGAAAGGCAGCGGGCCCCTGACCTCCCTCGCTGGCCTCGGGGTGGCCAACGCCAAGTCCTCCGGTATGTCGAGGACGGAGCTGCTGAGGTCGCGCCACCCGAAGCCCCGCTATCCCGCGGACGCCTGGGCCCACGAGGTCAGGAACGACAGAGTCCAGGTGCCCAACGCCGAGACGACCTACTGGTGCCGGGTGTTCAAGTTACCCTCAACGCTAAGAAAAAAGTAATAGTCACGCACACCACCCACCTCCACTCGTACCTTTAGTTCTCGTTGCCATGTATATAAAGCTCTGATGCACACGCGACGCGCTAATTACCTTTCTTTACAACTAAACAACGAAACTAATTGCGAATAATAAAAAGAGCACACGCCCGCGCTTATATACCTGAAACTCCAGTGTCAACCACGTACATGTATAGCAAAGTTAAAAGATTCGCCGTAACTACGATGACAATACGAACGGTTATTGCAGTGTTCCCGGTTATCTTGATGACTTCCCCTCCTCTTCTCTTGCACCTTTTTTTGCTTCACACTCGGGATAAACTACCGATCATAAAGAGAAAATACTATCGTCGCGGCGTTTCACGTACACCGTACGTGGATAATAACGTACACGAAACAACGTCGCGGAGCTGTATAATGGCGCGCGGTTTAGTCACCGTCGTCGTACTGGGCTCCTGCGCCTATCTGCGCGTCAAACACTCTCTTCTTCGCTATCTTGGAAATTAATTAAAAAAAAGAGAAGAAGAAGAAGAATCCTCGTCGCGCTTTTTGTTTGTACGCGAGTACAATCAACGCGACGACGCGCCGGCCAAATTGATAAAAGCCTCGGGCTGCGCCGGGACTATCATTATCGCGCACAATTTGCTCTGCAAACCGATCACGTCGGATATCGATCATACCGCGTTAACGCCGATTAACTCGGGTTTATTTCACGAAAAAAAAAAAAAAAAAAAAGGCAACAGAGGCACTTTTTTCACCTTGATTGCAAAATTCACACATCGGCAGTGTAAAAACAACAACAACAACAACAACCCATTTTGGAATTACGCGTACAAAGAGTGGAATGTTTGAACGACCATATATTTATACAGACACCACGTTCTCCAATTCGGGCCCGCCATTGAGAGCGGCAACGAGCACTTGGTGCACCACATGGAGGTATTCCACTGCGCCGGACCTGCCGATCTCGAAGTGCCGTTGTACAACGGGCCCTGTGACTCGCCCGATCGCCCGCAACGAACGCAGGTCCGTCCGGCATCTACATATATATATATATAAAGAAACGCATTGGCGATCCACACGAGTAATCGTCCATTTTTCAAACAGATCTGCAAAAAGGTGGTGGCCGCGTGGGCCATGGGCGCCGACGCCTTCGTCTACCCGGAGGAGGCGGGCTTGCCGATCGGCGGGGCCGGCTTCAACCGGCACGTCATGCTCGAGGTCCACTACAACAACCCGGAGCTGCGAGCCGGTATCGCCGACTCGTCCGGGGTCCGGTTCGTCTTCACGAGGAACCTCAGGCGGTACGACGCGGGCGTCGTCGAGCTCGGACTCGAGTACACCGACAAAATGGCCATCCCACCCGGACAGGTCTCCCCGAAAATCCACTTTTTGCATGCCACTCCCTTTTGTTGTACACCCAAGTATACCCGGCTACAAAGTAACCGGTCACGCAGGAGGAGTTTGCGCTGTCGGGCCATTGCATTGCCGAGTGCACGGGAGTTGGCCTCCCGCAGGCAGGGATCCACGTGTTCGGCTCGCAACTGCACACCCACCTGGCCGGCCGGCGAGTCGTTACGAGGCACGTCCGCGACGGCAAGGAGCTGCAGCCCCTCAACTACGACAACCACTACTCCACCCACTTCCAGGAGATCAGGCTGCTGCCGCGCCCCGTCACCGTATTGCCGGTACATACGTTTCACATCTCGACCGTCGAGTGTATAAGTATATTATACTTACATTGCAAGCAACTCGATCGTTTCAGGGCGACTCTTTGATTACCACGTGCACATATCGGACGACGGACAGGCAGAACGTGACGACCGGTGGCTTCGCCATTTCCGAGGAGATGTGCGTCAACTACGTGCACTACTACCCGAACACGCGGCTGGAGGTCAGGTGTAACGAGCTGTTTTTTAAATGTATATAATACAATGACGTATCGCGGGGTGTGTTTTCGCGCAGGTTTGCAAGAGTTCGGTGAGCGACGACGCGCTGGCCACGTACTTTCGTTACCTACGCGAGTGGGAGAACCAAAGGACGAGCGCCGACAAGGGAATCTCCGACAATTACAGGAGCATCGAGTGGACCAAGGTTCGCGTGGCAGCGCTCAACGACATCTACAAGGACGCCCCTCTAGGTAAAATCGCGTGCATGATTATTGCTTGCACGGTATATATATTATTTTTCGAGAGGTAAGAGATGGCGTGGAAATAATGTGTGGTTGCAGGAATGCAGTGCAACGGGTCGGATGGATCTCGGCTTCCCGGGCTGTGGGACAATGTCGCGGCGACGCCGGTGAGTCTTCCTTTGGCGCCGCCGGCGCGCAACTGTCCGGACTCGGGGTACCAAAACGACGAGGGAGAAATGATTGGTAGAGCCTGAACGGACGCAGTTACCGCAAACGGAAAGTCACGTTAGACCAAACGAAAGTACCTTCCGATAACAAATAAAAAAGGTACTTTATTACATAGACAGAGAGATAACAATAATATACTATTGTAGTTATACCTGATTGTCATTCAAATAAATTATACGTCGATGTGTGTGCCAAAATACAAAAAAAAAACAACAACTACTAAAGTCGTCAGGCATCGATAGAGTTGCGTATTTTATAAAAGATGTAAACGGTTTACGAGTCAAGAAATGAAAAAAATACATGTCAAGAACGTTGATGTAAGTGTTGAATGTTCAAAAGTTTATAAATTACCTCTTGGTTTGATGTAAAAACTATTTTTGCGCCCCTACTTGTAGCTAAAAAATGGGGTTGTGTAAGTGAATAACACAAGTTTGGCTTTTGAAATAAGAAATGAGAATAACAAATGCAGACACCCAAAATTGCAAATGCAGGCCACTTTGCACACAAGTAGAGTATTTTTTGAAAAGTCCATGGTACTCAACTGGAAAGGATAAACTATCATGTATGAACTATTAGTTGTGCTATAAATGTAAAATGCTTCAAATAAATATAAAAGAATTATGAAAAGATAATGTCATATCAAAAGTTTTTTTATTAATACCAAATCTCTTAAATATTTCATGATTTTCATTTTTAATCAAAGATTGATCGTAAAGCAAATGTACAAAAGAGTTGTTGATTTTTTTCTTGATTTACAACTTCAGCGAATGTAGATGAATTTTCAATGGAAACTTTTAATGAGTGGATATCTATATATAAATATATATATATGATTGTTTGTGTAATGATAAAATCGTTTTCGCACTTTTGACTAACAAATACTTCAATTTCACATCTTCCATCGCATCAATAATCATTAATATTACAATATATAAAAAATCTATTTATTTATAATCTAATAATGCAGCAATCTAGCGACCGATCGATTTCACATGCCGTAACATTCGTATCTATACAGATAAAAGAATAATGTACAAAAGACGAGACAGCATTGCTTTTAATCATCATAATTTGTTTCTCTTGGCATTGCGTCATGTAAATAATGGTAATACACTATACATACTACATATATCGAGCGCAAACTTAATCGTGATATAATTATGTTGCCATAAACATGTACTGTTCGCATGGTCTCTTAACCTAATGATACGATATAATAAAGGTGCGGACGTCGAATTTGCACGCGAAAAAATTCGGTACATGCATTAATACAAATAGAAAAAAGGATGATAAAAGGAGAACAAGAAAAACCTATATAAAAAGAAAATACTTCGCTATGATCGATATAATACATAATACAGGCAGGTCATAAGTATACATATTTTTATATATCTAAATATATATATNCGCGCACCTCATTGGTAGGATCGAATATATATATATATTTTTTTTTTCAAACACACATACGCTATTCGCACATTACGCGTGCATGTTTGCGTGATGTCGAGAAAACTACTATGCACTTATTGACTTAGTTTTGTAAAAAAAAAAAGAAAAAAAAGTCGTTTCGTTTTTTAAAAACGGCACTCGCATATTTTACTTATTTCATCGTCGCTTTATTGCCAGTGAAGTAGGTAAAAAATTTGATTTTTTTTCCCCCAACAAAACTATATCATCGACGAGCAAGTCAATATGCGTACACTTTGCAAAACATATATGTATATATAACGTGGAGTAATATAACATTCCGAGCTTTATAAAAAACATCATCATTGCATTCATTTTTTTCCCCTTTTGGTTCAGGATATTTTTAAAAAAATTTTCATGTTCATGCAATTTAGTTAATTAAAAAAATAATATTATCAGTAGTAATAATAATAATAGTAATTTGTACTGCCGAATATTTCCTCGGAAGTTGTGTTTTTTCCCGCGTGGCGCGTCCACACGCGGTCACGAAGGGTCAGAGATCAGCTTTCTCTTTGGCGTCGCGTTTATCTTTAGAACACGGACATGGGCACATTTCGTTACAACTTCAACAAGCAGGCACTTTTTTTTTCATCCCTCATTTACATCTTTTTTGAATTCGTCTTTTACTTTTTTAAACGCGTTACTCGTCAAAAGTTTACCAAAACGTTAGTTGCATAAAAACGTGAGTTACAAAAAAACGACTGTGCAGGAATTTTTTCTGAAATACAATGGTCCAAAAATGCCCACGACACAGCTTTTACATGCCCCATTTTGTAATTTTCTTTATCCGAGTGACCAGAATACTCACACCGCACATCCGCCGACTCGTTGAAAGAAGCGACTCGAAGAAGCACGAATTCATCCTTGCTCAACTCATGTCACATGCTTCAGAGAGAATCAGACGACTTGCAAACGAATTACAATGGACGATATAATATGTGAGCGAGTAAAACAAGGTGGTAAATTGTGAATATTAAACTATAAGTTGCTCCATTTTTTTTATATTGAGGTAAGATCATTTTTTCCTTGATTTTCAAACATCATATAAAATTGTACAGTTCCTGCACGTGTGAAAAACAATCAGTGTCGGAATGAAAATATAGTTTGTAATCGTTAAAAGGCGTCGAAAAATCTACCTGTTGCAGTATTTCGCATCACTAGTTAGTCAATCGTTACTCTACTTGAAAAGAGTGATACGCGAATAGGATCAGTCGGCTGATTTCCGTAGGAACAACTTTGCCCGATTCTTTCAGTTACCACTGCTTCGTTCCATTATTTTTCGTATAAAAAGCTCGAGTTATTATTCCGGTGGATCATGGAGTATAAAATATATATGTATATCATCTGGCGAATGAGTGCGAATTTCGTCTACGTTCGTATATTCATCTGCTTCAATGAACCTGAATTTTTTTATTATGGTACGGTTTCATAATTCGGGTCAAGCTGCTAAAAAGTGTCTGCACAGACTATGTATATAAGAAAATACACACTATTATTGAGAAACATCTTAGATTAAGTCCTCTTTGAGTAAAGCTTAGGGGAAATAGACATGGTACTTTGTCGCTTTAGAAACTTTTGTGTTAGCACGAGCCACATTTTCATCTAAAGTTACGATTCGAAAAAATTTTTTTTACTTTTTGCAGGCTTTGCGCAAAATTCGCTATAACTAGATATATTTTTATTCAAGTTAATATGAGTAAAAGCACTTGGCATTTTGTGATGCATTACGAGCACTTGAATTGGATTAACAATATACATCTCTCTAATCTATCTCAACTACTTTTGAGACATTTGTTTGTAAAAATATGTAATTAATGAAGATAAATAAAAAAACAATTACATACATCAAATGATTGAGAGCCAAAAAATAGAATAGAGTGACAAAAATACGGCACGCGCAACGATCGGATCATCGGTTTAAAAGCTAAAAAGGGCATACTCTTTACTTTCGAGATTTCGAGTATCATCTCTCGAATTACGTCTTTGATAAACACGGACATCGTCAGACATGTCGACTAGAGTGAGGATGAATTATTCTGGTGCATTTGCATTTGCAGAAAGCAGTATAGTATACCGGCTTGGGCCATAACGTCGACCGTGCCCGCGGCCAGAGGGTCACGATTTTTGGGGTCGTTTTGACTGCTCATGCCAGGACGTAGCAACGTAGGCCCAAAAACTGTAGCCAGATTGTGCAGTGACATTTTGTTCTGGGCCTCGTGCTTGTTGACTCGTATGAGGTGGGCGAGCAAGAAATCTATCACGGCCTTGTTGACCTGCGGCAGACTTTCATAGACGCGGCGAAAGGCACAGCCTCGCGAAAGCTCACCCGATTGGAAGGCGTCCAAAAAAGCTGGATACAAGGCGTCCGTGAACAGTGCCTCGGGCATATCGCGTAGGTAGAGCTTGAGGACACCCGTCACCGAATGGACATCCACCTGAAAACCGATTAATCGTTGCGAGTTGAATTACACGTGTAATTAAACTTTGTACACGACAGTGGGGATTTTAGGACTCACCTCTTTCAATAATTGTTCGGCTTCGTAGGAATTGCTTTCAAATGATTTGCGCAATTTTGCAACGTCAGATGCTGAACCAGAGACACGATACAGACCGACTTCTGCCATACCTCTCTTTTCGACTTCGCGTACACATGCTGTTATTATAAACGGTACATCTCGCTTTTCTCGTCTGCAACAAAAACCAGTTCAAGTTGAAACACATATCCAAGAGTCTTGCACTATTGCTTAAAGAAATAAAGAAAGTTCCTTACTTGCAGACTTGTTGAATTTTGGCGCCGAAAAGACCTTGCGGTTTGGCAGAAGGTACCCGACGTAGTGTAACTTCACTCGGAACGAATTTGAATGATACTTCGAGATTTGCAGGGCCCAAATTGAGTATTTTTTTAGTCTGATCTCCGAGTAACCAAGACCTGCTCAAATGTTGCGCATTTTTTCCTCTCAGCACCGAACGAGAGCCACATTCCTCATAGAGCAAAATTCTGACATTTAAACTTCCTTCCAGCTCTAGGATAAACGTTTGTCCTAAAAAGCGACATTAATATTATTTAATTAAAAATGTATTGTTTGAACTGATAGACAGTATTTCCTTACGTACCCCACGACGGTGCTTGTCCACGGGCTATCCGACTCTTTGCTTTTTTGAAATAGTGTCCATAACTGTCTACTTCTATGACTATATAAAGATCACATGCCCTGTCCAGTCCAGGTGGAACGATTTCTATCAACGTGAGCTGTAAGTCTCCTTGTAACAAGCTCTCATCTCGATTCGAACGCATCAAGTAACTACCCATATCTGCTTGCAAATAACTTCGACACGCAGCTATCCAAGCTTTTAAATCGTACATATTAAGGGGTAGTGGTCCAGGAGGCTGTCCACCCTGATATGATTTAAAATGTAACGTTACATTGAGGAAACTTTAAGTACATTTAAATTTCAAATCATGGAATGATGTTAACCTGTTGTAGTGCTTCAATGGCTTCAATCCATTGAGATCTTTCGAATTCGCTGGAGAGGAAGAATGTGTAAGAATTTTGAATGCGATTTTGACTTTTTTGTGCAATTTTAAAAATTAGATTCGGCGATGCCAAGATAAGTTGAGCTTCCAGTTCAGCCAATTTTTTTCGATTTTTTTCCGAGCCTCTACCCCCTAATCGAATTTTTTTTTCCTCGTTCTTTTCTTCCCACAAAATTTGGTCTCTAACTGTGCAAGCTTGCGATCTTTAAAAACAATTTGTTGTTAATTGATAAATCTTTGTGGAAATATTCAAATGAGTGATATAGAATAAAAATTGTGTTTACCTAAGTACCACAACATTTGCTGGACTGTTCTCTCGCGGTTCAATGCCATCCTCCATGACTACGACTTCGCTCATTGGGATGAACCACTTTAGCTCATATGTGAATTTGTCTTTGCCAGCTGCCTTGTACTTGGCGCATGAAATGACATCATTGAAAAGAAATAAGTGCCTCAATTTCCTGTTCCCGTCTGATAATTCCACAACGAACGAGTTCTTTACGAGCCTCCTTTGAGCTCGATCGTAATTCTTAATAAAACATACACACGTTACCAACTTTTGTTTAACATGTTCAATTTTGAATTTTTATTGAATTATAGTGATTATAAAAAGTAATAAAATAAAATGAATACCTTGAACATTGACTTTGTCTGAATGATATTAAATTCGTCGAGAAAATTACGCGTCATAGCCAGCGCTTCCGAGAGTGGAACGTGATCTGCATGATTTTGCGGCGTATGTTTTAATAAATCCTGATTAGCAAAAAATTATATATACATTTTACAACACATGAGAGATTACGATTCAAAAATAAAATGCCAAAAGAGCAATTATTACATGTAACACAAGCGCGTTCTTCTGGACGCGAGCGACAGGCTTGTGCAAGAGATCCTCTAGCGTCAAGCCCGGGCCTTTGGGGTAGCGCCTCAGAGGTATGTCTCTCGTGATCTCGGCAAATTGCGGCGACTGCGACGAACAGCGGCGCACGGTGTCGGTGGCACGAGCGTAATTATGGAGGAACGCGCCGTAATCTCGAATCTTGCTAGCCATCACCTGCACAAGTATCATGAGAAAATGTCGTTTATGAGGTCAGGAGTGATTAACCTGAAAATTAGTTATGAGACGCTAAGAGGATGCGTCTCTCTCTTACCTTGAATTGCTCGCCGATCGTTGTTTTACTGTCCCAGTTTTCAAGTTTTTTTCGGAGATCACTCAAAAAATCTAAATGCACTTTGTGCAAGTCTGGAATTTTGTAAAATATAGTGTTGAAATCTTCCTGAGAAATGACTGGTTGTGATGTGTTTACAGTCGCGTTGATAGCTTTCATGTACTGTAAAATATAATACTGGTTAATTTGGTCAATCATTTAGAAAGTAAATGTCATCAAAGTATATGCCTACCTGAACCATGACGTCCAAACAATCCACGTAAATATTTTCACTCTCAACCACAGAATTAATAATACACTTGACCATAGACGTTCTATCATCTTCTTGACTTTTGCTCTTTTCTTGACGGCGTGGCGTCGTCGGCGTTGGCGATTCTAAACTGCCTTCGCTTAAACTCAAAGGCTCAGCATCACTACTCCCTGTTTCATTGTCTGTACTTAGAGTACGCAAAAGAATTGGTGGAGCAGGATTCTCTTCATCCTCACTGTCTAACGCTGCTCTGTGTCTGAAAAAAAATTAAAGTAGTTTTAGACTAATGCTTGTGAGAAATAATTTTTTTTTATTTTTAATAAGTTCAAAATTTACTGTATAAAGTAATCAATATTGACATAATTTCCTTGATTTCCTGGCGAATCTGGAAGCGAAGGTGGCCTTTTCAATTGCACTTTACTACCATTATTACCTATAGCAGGTGCATGCGCTTCTATATAAACATACTCTCCAGTTGGATCAAGGGCTACGGAATCATAATATGGTTCTTCTTCGGATGCTTCGGCGTCACCATCTTCACTACCTTCTGTAGCTTTTTCAGAATCTTTTTCATCTTCCTCTTTAACGGAATCTTCATTCTTATCTTTCTTTGAATTACATGTGACTTGGATGACTGTGACATAATTACTGGGCACATCTGGATCACTGTTTCTTCTACATTCAGGCACTTTCTCAGGACTCTTTGGTATCACACTTTTTGATCTCCTACTTGAATTCAAGGTTGAACTCAATTCTTTAAGACATTTGTCTTGCAATTTTGTGAAATCTTCTCTGGCAGGAACTGGTGGGGCGAAATCCTCAGTTTCTTCCAGCTGTGTGTTTGAACCTTGTACACTGGTTTCTACTGAGTGCAAACTTTGTTGATTTGAAGATTCAAGGCCAGAATCTTTGGCTTCAGATGATGCAGATGCATTAGCTAGTTTGTGTTTCTCAACGTCTATCAAGAGTCTTTCCAAATATTCGACATAAAATTCCTCTTTTTCTAGCTCTTCTTTTAGCAAAGCAACCTGAAAATAGTTTATAAATAATTATTAGTTAGTAGTCAATAATTATCAAGAATAAAATTTGAATTAAAGTGAAAACTAGCTCTATTAGTTACAATAATAAAAAAATAAATAAATAACACTGTAATTGATTTGCTAGACATTAATGTAAAAACAATTACATTTGGATTAATTTTTATAAGGCATCTATATTACATTTAAACTTGAAATATTCAAAACATGTGGGGTAGAGTTGACAACTACATCTATCATGCTTGTATGCTACTAATAAACAGTGCCACCGCCCAATTAAAGCTTCTTTGAAACCTGATGAATCATCAGAGCACAAGTAACCCATAAAATTTAAAATGCTTTGTACTCTTGCGGTCATTCTAATAACACTTTTTTACTTTTTTAAAATCACAGAAGTAATACAATTTATAGTCAAGTCATTATTTATTTGTTTTTATAAAATTAAGATTGATTGAGAAAGATAAAAATTCTGATGAGACTTTGATATTTTTTCTCCTCTACTTGAGTCATGCTTAACACGAATAAAACAAAAATAATCACACGCTACCTTATGCTTGTGCTTAATCAAATTTGCCTTGACATCCTCTTCCCATGCAGCTGGCAGAGCGCTGTCTGGGAATCTTTCCACCCAGACTCGCTGGAAGTCTCCAAACACACTCATCCCTAAAAACACCAGGTTTGATTACAACAACTTCGAGACAAGAGCACCAACACTTTAGTGTAATAGCGAGGATGAAAAAAAGGAAAGATTGCAAGTGGGTAGATAGGACAAATGAATGAAAAAGAGGAATTAAAGGTGCAGTGTGCAGCCATAACAGCAGTTTTATAGTTTTAGCAATGCCACATGATGAGAAGACCAGTACAATATCGGCTCTTCTTTACTTTTATGAAAAAAAAAAAAAGGATAAAAGTAAGAAAGAAGGAGAAAAAACGGACGCGAGTGGGTTTCACAAGCACGAGCGAGTCAGCCAGACAAGTGTATTGCTTTCACAATATGCTCGTGCGTAAGTACCTCACAAGTGTAAGTATATTATGTATGTATAATGTGTATACGATGCGATGAGTATCGATGGTCATGGTATGATATGAGATATGAGCCTTTTTAAAAAATTTTTGAAGCGAAACCTTATCTCCGAGACACTATACAGCCACGGGTGTATCAGGTACATCAGATGAGATGTCAAAGGGGGTTCTAGGTGTATACCTATCTACCCAAATTCAATTATATTCTGTATGGATGGACGATAGCTCGGACGATAGTGCATTTACACGAATAGAATAGGGCTAGGGCAGTAAGTACTTGGAAAAAATCTACATTCGAGAGGAAAAAAAGGATGTGGCAGTGTGATGGGTGAATGTGAATGCATATGGACAGTAGAAAGAAAAGAGAAAGTTAATAGAGTCACGTAATGTATGTGATGTGACAAATGATGATTGTAAACATGTAATGCAAATAAATGAAATAAGCCACCTGCACCGTGCACTGCTCTTCTTTTGTTTAAACTACCCACTCTTTTCGCTTCTTATTTTACACTTAATTTCTTCGCGGGGCCTCTGTACACACACGCAGCGTTGGGTTGGGACGTTCGGAGGAAAATAAAACACACACACGCGCGCCGCGTCGATGCTTTTCACTCCACGTCTCGTAAATAGGTATCTTTATTTATTTGTCATCCTCTTGAATGCATGGCTCATCGCTCCGGTGATTAAGTAGTACTTACACCTATAGCTACCTATAGGTATTAAGTAGTAGGTAATATTAGACATCAGCCGATGACTGATGTCCAAGTATCCAGACTTCTTGATGAGCGCTACTCCCTCAGAGCACACCCACGTTATCTGTCTCCTGTCTGACGTCTGACTCTAACTGACTCCTCTTTACTTTTATCAGCTTTTATCTAAGTATTCTATATACATATACAGATATACAATAATGTGACAGATGGAAGTACGGGCAGTATATGGCACAGACACGGCTGCCCCCAATGCGGTGGCGGCGCTGTAGTAGCGATGCGCCCCCCCCCCCTATGTGGTCCCTGACTGCTGCCCTACTGTCCTGAGTATTTCCTGAGTCAGGAATCCTGACTACTGCACGAACACGCGAATAACAGCGGCTGTGCTGACATACTTAATTACTGCTAATCAACTTATGATTAACTAATACGCAATGTAATGACGCACCCTTCGTTGAAATGAGTATCTATATGCAGTAGTGGGATTTTGCATAGGTAACGAAAGAGTGAGAAATTTCGAATTTATGGGGATAGGAGGCTTTCCAAGTTAACTTGAGCGTGTAGGTATAAATATACATGATTTATTGCGATACCAAGCGCACTTGAACAAATTCAACGGAGAGCGGGCTTCTTCTTTATGACGATGCTCTAGCTTTACTTATCTCTTAATTATATTATCATCTATGTAAAACGAGTATGGTTTAATAATATATACTATAAACTTCGATTGCGCCAAAGTTTTGCGGCTCGAATTTTTTTTGCAATCAATTTGGTTACTTGTACGCTGTCGTCGTGTTTCATAAAATAAGTTGCTTCATCTGACAGCTGCATATGGAACAGCAACGCTGGTAAGTTTACGTGGACTGAGTCACTATAACGACAATCACATATACATATTTGTGTTTTTCGTATCACATCTTTACTATCATATTCCGATATGTATACATATTTATGCATTCTGTGTACGGTTGAGGAGGCAAATTATTCCGCTCCATTATCTCGTCCCTCATCTCTCCAGCTCATCATCACTCCCCCGCATTTCCTCTCTTTTGCTTGCTTTGGCCATTTTTAGACGATTTACTGGAGCAAAATTGATGCCCGATCATTTTCCGACTCCGTGGTTTTCCACACGCGCGCGTGCACACATGCAGTTTTATTTAAGTACTTGTAAAGAGAGTGACTGCATCGAAGACTCATACATATAGGTACGAATTTTTTTATTATATGCACTTTAATAGCAGCCAAGCATCAACTTTATTGCGCGTTTTATATACATATTATAACTGGATTAACGTTTTACGTATAAATACGTTTCGTTACACGCGTTATTAACGAACACTTCAACTCTAACGTATACTCTTTTTGTGATCTACCGTTTGGAGTTTTTATCAACGGAGATCGAAGAATTATAGGAAAACAAATCGGTAGAACATACAATTCAGATAAAGAAGAGTGAGAAACTTTTGTAATTCCGAATTTCGGGAATGCAAAGTCGAATATTTGAGTTCGAATTACGAAACGCCTTATCCAAGAACTGTCTTGTATCGTTCGATTTGTCGAAAAATTTTGGTCACTTTCGTTCGAACAGAATCAACTGAAAACCTCCATACGAGTTATTCTGTTTATACTTACTTTCTAATTTTTTATTCTGCAAACTTTTTTTTTATTTTTTCAGTTCCGATAGTTCTGCGATTAGAGAGCAATGGGAGCATAACATTTTCAGAATAAAAAGTATACATTTCAAATTAAAGTATAACGTGAAACCTCGAAAGCTAATATTAACATTTCAAACTCCAAGAAACTCAAGTAGTCTTTATTCGACTTGAATAAAATTATGCGAAACCTACGAATGGCGTATTAAAAATTGGATTAAATTGAAATGTAGAACTCGCATTTGATGCGTAAGTACAAATCTTCGTGTACGTAAGTACGTTTCCACATGGGTAAATATTTTCTACCGAGTGAGAAATCTCTCTGTCTCCCCTCGGACGGAACGGATCATAGACCGCGTAAAAAACTGTAAAACTTTTTAAANGTCATCAATACAATTATCTTATCATTATTTAATAGAGAAAAATTACGACCCAATCGAGTTACGTTTAACGATCGCATCAGTAGTACCAACACTCTCGTTCCGTAAGCGCATCTTCTTCTCGGTATTGTTAAAAAAAAAAAATAATAAAAAAATAAAACCCTACAGGTATACGGTGCGTGAAATTTTTTTTACTGTGGAAAAAAATGTAAGTATATAAAAGACGTGGCATTTTAGAGTGATCTGGGTGTATGTATCTAATTGAAAAATTGCTCTTATTTTTCACTAGCGACGCACACAGAAATCATTAAATAAACTTGATTCAATAAAAGTTCTCTTATCAAATGTCTTCACAGTCTTTTTATACACACACACACACACACGCACGCAATTTACAGTTGAGAGAACAACGCTACGAGCAAGTGGTGATAAGAGCCGTAACGAATACTATTATATCTCGTTCTTGCATAGTTTTTTTTTTTTTTTTTTTTTTTTTTATAAAAAAATTCTATGCTCTTCTCATTCATCAATTTAGCTGCTACAGTGGATTATTTATTGAAATGATACTTTTCGTTGCCATGCATCGCTTCAGAGAAAAAATTATTGTTCAAATAAGGACCGTCATGAACAACCGTATTTTTGCAAATACTCTCCAATAAACAAATTTTTCCTTCGAATAACTTCTCATGTTGTGCAAAAGTTTAATTTTTCAGTATTAGTTTGTTAGTAGTATAATTTTTAGGATAATTATGAAATCGTTAACAAACTGGGCTCATTTTGTAGATTTTTTGTAACGCTTAAAATTAATTTTACGATCAATTTATTAGTAAAACGAATAGGAAAAACTAAACAACCGAAAAACGGTTTTTTTTTTTTTTTAAATGCAACCGATTTATTACTGACATCTTTAAATTTGTATTTAATTAGTTTACGATAAAAGGATCGTTCAAGTTATTTCTGAACCTCTCGAACCTCGTGTATGTATATGTACTAGAATCGAATAGTGACACCTGTGATGTGTCAAATAAAAATTGGAAAAAAAAGAAGGAACAAACACATTTTGTACATAAAATAGTAAAATATCGATATCGTATCGCGTTGTTGTGTACACAGTTGTGTATACACATATGTGTGCATAAGTGTACGCGCGACCCCTCGTAACCTAATCCGCCCGCTCGGTGCGACCAATCCCGGCTCGGTTGGAAAGAGACATCGGGGTTCGGGGGTGGCACCCAAAGTCGGTCCGTCTGCCTTCCGTGTCGCCGATCTCGTTCGTCTGCGCTATCCCCCCTGCAGATGAGTACACGCTCCAAGAGAGCATTAAATATATACTTGGTAATACTCACATATCGCGTTGTTGGAGAAAAAAAGAAAAAAAAGAATTATTTTATTGTAAAAATTTAACGTTATAATATTTGATACGGGTAGCGTGTACACGCTGATATGCTGAAACAGCTCTCCAGAAAGGGTAAGTCGAATTATTTACAACGAGCGAATAATACGGTTTTATAACGATTTTGTTGACCGTACTTCTCTTCTCGGCTACGACGTTGCTACTGTTTATTTCTTTTTTGTTTTTTTTTGTTTTGTTTTGTTTTTGTCACAATTGTCGGCTGATGAATATCATGAAAAAAGTATGCGCATCAGCCCGAATGCGCGTCGCGTCTGTCTCTGTCCGCTTGTGTTCCGTCTCGCAAACCGTAACAACCGTGTATTATATTCTCTCTGCGTATATACACTCTCCGTTCAGCCGAGCGTGTATGCGTGCCAAATATAGCAGCCTGCCACTGCAAGGAAAAAAGTGCAATGGCCGAGAGAGCCGTGCCGCTGCAGCCGTGTGACGTTTGACGCCCACGCACGTACTCTCCCGTACACGCGCGGGTCCTCTCCCGGTGCCGCAAAATGTCCCAGGGCCCAGCCGGCTGCCCGGACCACGCGGACGAGGATGGGCTCGCCCCTCGGCGCTGCCGCTGCTCCGACAACGACGCGCTCCGGATACTCGGGGAGTTCGAGAGCCTCTACAAGGGCCGTATCGCCGAGGTCGAGGCGGACCCCCGGCCCACCACCGACGCTCAGCGCACCGAGGTTCGTCCTCATATCGTTTTCTTTGCCGTTTTTTGGCCTCCCAGCTGGAGCTTTAGACAACGCGGCTTTTGTTTACACGCGTTTCGGAGTAGTTTTTTTTTTTTTTTGTTTTTTTTTTGTTTTTTTTTGTTTCGTTCCTCATGTTTTTCCGAGCTTTTCTTCCGTTATTGCCGATTACAGCGACAATAGCAAGATAAACGGTGATAAACGTCACACATTGCGCTCTTACGTAAATTATCGATTATCTCCGGCAATTAGTATACACCGCGGGGCGTTAATTCTAATTTTAATTTTAATATATACGAGCTTAAATGTGCGGTAATTTAGTGTAGTTCAGTGATAGCCTCCTATAAATAGATGATGTAAACAGTACATGCGCCGTTATATTGCAAGGATACCTTGTAAATGTAAGGTCTGTTGTTTAAAACGTAAATTACATTTTAATGGTTTTTTTTTTTTTTTTTTTTTCCTAGTATTTTTTAAATTTTGATAAAAGCTTTGAATTTCTGTTCGAACGATCGTTTATTTTGTTCGATTGCTTATAAGTTGTGCTCGATCGTGTTTGTAAATTTAATAGAATAATTATTTAGAAAGCCGCATCGGTTACTCAAAATCTATAAATAAATTCATTCAGCGTTTTACTGCTGCACGAGTATTTCCTTGGCTGCCATGAAAGTCAGAGAATATTGGAGCAGACTGCATTAGCTAAGAATAGATCACTTAAAGATTTAAATAGAAATAATGCTCTGGAGGGACTTTTTGGCCCCGTTTGCTACTTACAACACAAATAAATGTGTGTACAATGTTCGTCAACGTTGATGTGGATTTTGTTTACAGTTGAAGTTGAAAATCATGACAGACTGGGTCAAGGACTTGGGAGAGCAAAATGCCATGCTGGTACAAACTGTCCATGATCTTGAGCAGGCGGCTGTTTGTCGCGTGAAATTGTTGGAAAACAAATTACAAGCCACTTCGACTCTGATAGCCCACAACATGTCTAACACTGACAAATCCGAAGAGGTAAGCAAAGACGTACAGTGTTTTTACGTAAAAAAAAAAAAAAATAATAATAATAATA